CCACACATGCATATATACATCAGATTAATCTACGTAAGAGATGGGGGAGGGATGTAAACTAACTGCTGCTCCCACCTCTTGTAGTGTCCTGGCCACCCCCTGACATCCGCCACAAGCAATTTATTAGTGGATGCCTCCGTCCGGGTGGCTTATGGGGGAGGGAGGAAAGGAAAACATCTGACGGGAAAAAAATAGTAATTCATTAGAGGGAGAGCTGCAGCCCAGAGGTGCTGGCTTTCATATTCAATTTGGAGATGGTGGCATGTTCATAGGGGGTGTGAAGAGAAGAGGCTGGTGCGTGTGCATGTGGATGGGGAGGGGTGTGTTGTTCACCCCAACCTCATCTATTATCTTCACGATCCTCCCTCTGGGAGAGCCCACAGGTCTATTGATCATGTCTTTAGACCTGTCCCACACACACACACACACACACACACACACACTCGGTTCTTACAACACCTCAAGGTTGGGCAAAATTCTGAATTTTGAATGACAGGAAGAGGAATTGCAACAGAAATTCAAAAGTTACTCAACCATTTTTTCACATGGGTTTGCTACATTTTGGCTAATTATTCCCAATAACTTTCTGATATACAGAATGAATTTTGTTCTGAACTAATTAAAACCAATTTTAATCCAAAAAATATTGTTTTCAGATACTTTTATAAAACTAAATATTGACATCAACATTTGAAATTAACGATCATATAATATATTAGGTAAATCAGAACATTCTTGGAAATGAAGTGTTATTGGTATATGTTAAGCTGTCAACTAACATCATTGATTTAATTTGGGCTTTTCCCACTACTTAACCCTAAGTTAGATCATTTGTCTTATTAACCTGGGTTAAAGCCAGTTTTAACCTTGGGTTAAGCAATGTTTGTCACTTGTAAATGGGGATTAACAGGTGAATCTCATGAAAACATGTCCAGGTCACATTAAAATATAAATATATTATAGATTTAAAATAAATGTTTTAGGCCTTTTAGGCTTTTGCTGTGGGAAATTATATGGAATTATTTTCACAACAATTGAGCATGTTTCGCCCTCAAATTTTAATACATGCAGACAATTTACTTTTGAGTTTTTTTTTTAAAATGTCCATTCTTAATAATTGTTCTCATTTGCTGCTTATTAATTTAATAGTTTTATTTACTGTTTTAGAAACAAAATACAATCTTTTTTTATTTAAAACAGGATAAATGAAAGGTTTTGATGTATAAATGTTTTACAATTTACATGACATTATTGTTGTTGTTTTTTAATACACTAATGAGAATGAGATTTCTTGTTAAAATAGGCTTCAAGAATTACTTTGGATGAACAATTTCAGGTGTGACAGTTGTGATTTAGTAGTTCATTGTCAAAACTCCTCTTTTGATTTATGGTCTTCACTGTTTATGAATTATGAAACTCCATTTATGATGGCTGTTTTTCTGATCGCACACAGGAGAACTCAGTGAGGACCCCCATTTCCCTAAGATTCAGTGGCCGTCTCCGGAGTTGTGTCCTAGCTGTCATGGTGTAAAGAGGACCGGTGAGCACCACTGGAACCACGAGGAGGTGCTGACCTTCCTCCGAAACTACTTTTCTTCAGATCACATTCTGATGGACTACCTGCAGGACGAGACCCAGGCTCTCATCCATCAGAGGAATCGACTTGTGGCCGCTCGGATGGAGAATGAAGCCGGGCGTGGGATGGAACGGAAAGCTCGAGAGGTTCTCGACAACCACCCTGCCGAAGAGCCTCAAGAAGAGGAGCAGGAGGAGGAGGAGGAGGAAGAGGAAGAGCCAGCACTGGAGGAGCAGGCCGGTGAGCCGTACCCTGCGGGGCTGGAGGGAATGGGGGTGGCTGGAGCAGACACAACCGATAACCAGGCACCGTGGGAGAAGCCACAGCGGCCCCAGTCCCAACACAAGCCAAGAATTGTGGGATTGAAACTACGGGAGCGCCAGGAGGACATAGTAGACCTGGATTCCTTTGTAAGCCAACACTATAAAGCCAAAGCCCTTCAAGCTGCAGCCATGTCTGGCGTAGTGCGACGGAGGAGTCTGCAAAAGAAGGAGGATGCAGAAGACCTCCAGTTCGAGGGAGGTTGGAGGGTGAAGCGAGACCTGGGAAGCCAGGAAGAGAACCTCTGGGTAGAACCGCACCCCAGACCCCAAAGCAAGCGCTGGATGTCCCTGCTCAGCGTGGGATTCTCCAGGCTCGATGTGAGCCTGTGTGTCCTGCTGTACCTCCTCTCCACCATGTGTCTGCTCGCCATGTACCTGTATTTTAAACTGAGGATAAAGCTGCGACGGGCTAAATTGTCTCTGGCCTAGAGCATCGCTCCAGCGTAAACTTTTACTTTTAGCAGGGACGACCAAATCTCACAAGCTGTGGCTACTAGAGAACCTGACAGCTTCAGTGCCAAGGTAACGATGCACAGAAATTGAGAGATTACAAAGTATTGTTTTTGATTTTATGGTAATTAAGAGGATAATGCGAAAAAATGCCAAAGTCTCTTTTTACGGACCCCGCACTTGTCCATGAAGGGCTGCTTGTGGTCTTAATTTTAACGTTTTTTTTTACTTCATCTGTGAGTTGCATTCTTTGAAGCATCTGATGATGACATTTTTGTAATTGTAATTAATGTCTTTATTTGTTTATCCTATAAAATTTGTTTTTATATGACCACTCAAAGAAATCTGCAGCACGCATAATTTCGAAAAGCACCAACCATTTTGTATAATATTCTTGAAACATAAAACTTAGATTTATGAAATATTTTAGCTCAAAAACAGCATTTTTAACGTGCCCACTTGCCCTTTAGTAAAATAATGAAATCTTTCTAAATGTATATATATATTGTTTTGAATTTGGAACAGCTCTATGATTGTGGTTATAATGAAAATACACCCCTACATCTGCATGTGTTTAAACCATTAATTTTGTCGTGATCTCACTGCCTGTTTGTTCATTTACTGTGCCTTCCTGATCAAATATTAGATTTTTTTAAGGGGGGGGGATTCTTCACAAAAATATTGTTAGATTTGTGTATTGCAGAGCAACTCTACAACAAGTACCTGAAACGATCAGAATCACAGAGATTATGGTTTGTGCCTGTTAGGTAAACAAGTGCTTTGCTGGGTAAAATCTCATTAAAACTATTTTTTCTAAAAACGTCTTGTATCGTTTTTTTCTGCCATGGTATTAGATACTTTTCTTTTTTTAAAGCCATGTTAACATAACATTTCCAGTGTCTTTAAACTTATAGTTAGTGTGCGTCACAAACTAATCATACTGTAGACAGTCAGTTGAATAAGTAACGGCTGGAATACACTACACAACTTTTGTCCAGATTTTTGCAGTCAGGAGTCAACCCTAATTGCAGATTTTGGGCAGTCTGAGTCGACAGATTTCATGTACGATGGCAACTATCTCCGGTTTTAGAACACATTGTTCTCATTTGTTTAATCATATCATCCCCAGTTTTGCTGTGTAACCATTTACAAAGTCGCCCAGTGTTTGGTGACTAGTGTTTTGAAAAATGTTCCGAATTTAATCTTGGAGGGTATTCCAGCCATTCCTGAAGATTTGACTAATTTCTCAATCAAACGCTGTAAACTTGACTGTGACAGTAACCGTTCGTGATCATAGCCTTTCCAAAGCCTGAGCATCATTCACCCTATCAGTGTCCTCAGTGCTGTGTGCGTTTGTCTCAATGAATAGATCATGTGTTGTGTTTAAGTGTGTCTTGGGTGAGGAGTGGTCGGGGAAGGGGTGAGCTGACCCGTGGGTGGAAGAACTAGCCTGTTGCCATCTGGTCTGTTTTGCTAGCTAAATCCTAACAATTTCATTGGGATTATAGCAAGTGAGTAATCCTGCTTTCCTTTGGGTCTGCGGGAGATTACCACGGGGATTAGCCCCCACCCGATAATAAACTTTATTAAAACGCAATCGGCTTTCAAGGCCTCTTCCCTCACACACTTGGAAGTTGGCTGTGGCCGGGAGGGGGTGGCGACCCCAGGGAGAGAGGATCTGAGGAGGAACACTGGAAGACAAGGGTTTGAAGTGTTCCAGATTACAGGCTCATCTGAAGGGCACCGTCGCTTGATCATGAGCTTATGGGTTTTCGTGGAAATCTGAGTGCTGCCCTTTTGTCCCACATCTTTTTTTTTTTTTTTGCTTGATCTATTTTTTTTCCTTTACTAGATGTACTATAGTACGAATCTTTGGGTTGACGTGTGGAGCGTTTAAAAATGTGGTGACTGCGTTAAAAAGAAAAGCTCTGAAGTTCAAGGCTCCTTCCAAAGGACAATGAGGATTAGTATAGATCACATGATCTTTTTTTAACTTATTTGCTACATTTAAAGGGACAATTCCCCCCAAAATAATAATTAAAAGGATAGTTCACCCAAAAATGTAAATTCTCTCATCTTTTACTCACCCTCATTCTCTGATGTATGACTTTCTTTCTTAAGATAAACACAAACGTTTTTTTAGTTTTTTTTTTAGGAAAATAATCCATCTCTGTGAGTCCATATAATGCCACTGAATGGCTGCCACTAATTTGATGCTTGAAAGAAAGTCATATACATCGGGAATGGCATGAGGGTAAGTGAATGATGAGAGAATTTTAATTTTTCCATGAACTACCCCTTTAAATGGCCCTAATTTCATTCCAAGCCTGCATGACTTACTTACTTCTGTGAAACACAAGATATTTCGAAGAATCCAAACAACATTCACTGTAAAAACAGAAAAAAAAGTTGATGTCATAAATAGTCAACTTGGAAGTTACACAGTTACATTTAACTGACTTTAAAAAATGAGTTGAATCTTGTATCACTTATTAAAAAAAGTTGAAAATTGCTTAACTTATTTTGATGAGTTAAAGCAATGTAAAAACATATGTTGTCATAACTTACTGATCATATAATTGGATTCCATCGACTTTCATTGTATGGACTAAAAAACATATGTAAATGTATTCTTTGAACAGAACATTTTTGCCCAGGAGATTCAAACATCCAGATGGACGTTGAAGGACGGACATGTGACATATGTAGAGATCGGAGTAACACAGAGACTTGAGGATGGACTCTTTTAACTTGGGTCAGAAAGCAACACTCTAAAAAAAACATGTAGTACACCTTAGCAACCACAAACAGCGAGTTTTGCACAGGAAAATAAAATTAATTAAATTTAAAACGAATTAACTTTGTATCTGATTAAATAATCTGAATCTGAAATTGGATTTATTTATCTTTATACATCCCAGCAAATTTGCCAGCATGTTGGTGAGTAGTACACACTATATAGTCATGGATTTTCTATCCAATCTTGCTAGTGTCTCTATGTACAAATCAGACTGTATATAACTGTGAAGACATAATAATGTGCTTCCTGTTCCCTGCCAGACTTAAGTGAGGGACCTGTTTGTATGCAATGAGAACAATGGAACAAAAGATACCTCCCCAGCCCCCAACCAAAAGCGTCAGAAAGCAAGGGTAAAACATCACCTTGTGTTGCTGGTGTTGTGTTCCATAAATTAGACAATGCTGGGTTTTATTGCTGAGGCCCTCCAACATGTACTTTGCGTGTTTATGGTCGATCGCATACTGGTATTAAAATGCTGGACAGGTTTGATACCTCTGCTGTCATACCACTCTGATTTTAATAATACAATAAAGCTTCTGCCATAGACATACACAGGGTGTGTGAGTGTGTATACACACTGAGAGTGAATTAATTCTGTGAAGAGAGGAAAAGGGTTAATATATGGTTTCGTTATTGTAGCTCATTTAGCTCTGACCCCTGGATGTTACATTTATCCCTAAAGCAGGAGCCAAACAGGTCAGATTAATCTCATTTTACTACCGTCATTCCTCCCCATGTCCATAATGCATATTTTGAGATGCAGCCCTCATTCTTAGCTTAAATGTGGTCAGTCAGAATGAACGGATGGACTGATGACAGGTGAGAGGTGGCACGACATGCTAAACCACTATAAGAAAGCAAGACATTACTATAGTTTATATACACACACATACTGCATGTGTGTGTGTGTATGTATATATTTTTTCCATAAACTAAGAGTTAGAAAGGACATGTGCATGAATCTGAACTCTGTCTTTATACTGAATCCATGTGATGAGAATTTTGATATAAACCCCCAAATCTGGTTGAAAGGTTCAATGATAAAAAAAGAGATTACATTGTATTGTCTAGGCTTTAAAGGTTAAATTATTTTTAAAGGTGCTTAGTATCTCCTTTTGCTTTGGTGGTGTTTATTTTGAAATGAACAAGAGCAATTTCCCTACATACATAAACAAGGATATGTGGACATTTTATTTCAAATCCATATGCGTTAATAGTAAAGCGGTCTTTTCTTTACTGCTGTGACAGCTTCTGTTCTCTTGTGATGGCTTTGGAACATGGATGCAGGTATTTGTTCCCATCCAGACACTGTAACATCAGTAAGGTCAGACAGTGATGTTAGGTGATGGGGTCTGACTCACATTCATCGTTCCAATTGATCGTCAAGGGTTTCAGCTCTGGTCTTTGTGAAGGTCAGTCAAGTTTCGCTCAGTAAATCATCTCTTTATGAACCTTACTTTGCGCACAGGGACACAGTGCTGCTGGAACAGAATAGGTACGCTCCATTCAGATACACTAGACCTTATTCACCAGAGAAACGAGGGCGCCGCCATCTTTAGAATATTGTCTTTGGACTTCCGTTTTTGCGGTTGCTCTGTATATTTCTATGGCATCGCTGTCCAGGAGTAATTAGCTGGTGAAGTTGATTTACTTATTGTAGAGTTAACGAAAGTTATCATGAGCATTGTAATGTTTATGATAAGCATTGTAAAGCATATGTCTTAACAAATGGACCTTGGGAATTTTTTTAACGAGCCGTTCATTCATAACTACGCAAAATCGCTGTGAAAATACAGACCGGAAGTCAAAAGACAATGAGCTCAGCGCGGAAAAGGGGCGGGGCTACATAAGGTCTATATTATTGTCCTTTGCTCCAATGCCTTATGAACGTATGTACGTTTTTTTTTAAGATAGATGATTTTGTGAAATCTAAATTACAAGCTTTACAGATCTTTATTGGAAAGGTTTTAAACAATGTTTTTTTGTTATTATTGCACATGCACCAGTGAAACAGTCCTTAAGACACTAACAGTTTACAGGCGGTAGACAATTAAAGTCACAGTTCCAATAACTCAGGACACCAAAGAGAGATATTTCCACTGCACTGACACTGAAAAACACCAGGAGGAAGATGCATACGGTCCCTGATCACCTGTGTGAACATGCCATAGTCCTTCTGCAGGAGGCATGAGGACTGCAGATGTGAACAGAGCAATAAACTGCAATGTGTAAGACTCCTAAGACAGTGCTATAGGGAGACAGGAAAGATAGCTGCTCATCCTTGTAACTGTTTCCCCAGACATGTTTGAGAACTTGCAAGTGCCTTGGTGGAGGAGTGGAGTAACATCTCACAGCAAGAACTGGCAAATCTGCTGCAGTCCATGAGGATGAGATGCACACACCACATACTGACTGCTTTAGATACTGACCCCGGTTTTTAGAGACTCATTCCATTTCTGTTCATAAATGTCTGTGAAATGTCAGTTTATGTCTCAGTTGTTGAATCTTTTCATGTTCACAGTTACATGTTAGGAAATTTGCTGGAAAAAAGCATGTTGAAAGTGAGCGGACGTTTCTTATTTTCCTGAGTATATATATATATGCACAGCTTCTTGGCATGCAGAGCTGTGGATCTCCATGCCCTTCATATACCGACTGCAGAATAGGGTGGTGAAGGTCGTCTGAGATCAGCAGAAGGCCAAGCTCAATCCTGAAAGCCACGATTCTTCTCTAGGACAGGCCAGATGATGTCAATAAGATGAGTTTGGATGGCTTCCCGAGAATGTCCATCAACATGCGTTAATGAAGCAGAATGAACGGCCTTGTCAGCAAACACCGGAAATGTAATCTCCATGAAGATGCTTCAAAGATGTTCATCAGTGTCGTTTAAGCAATTACATATTACCAGCTAAATGCCCCTCTCTTTTACCCCCGATCTGTCTTAGACGAGACATCTCAACTCAAGATTTTGAAAATCATTTTGTTTGTATGATCTCCAAATGTGTTGCATTTACTTGTGTTGCAACACATATTAAGCTCCATGTAAGTTATTACAATAACAACAATTACAACGTGTATTCATGCTATCAAAAAACAATCAAACAATTAGGCCTGTGTCCATTAGTATTATTCAGTGCTCATCTAATTAAACTATTAGATGTGCACTTTAATTTAAAGCATTTTCTTCAATTGAATAACACAATAAAAATCATGCATAAGTTCAGAATCATTATGCTTCATGGGAGCCCGCTTAAATACACATAAATAAAGGTATCGATTGCTGAAGTAAGTAAAAACATTACAGGGGATTCTTCATTGTTTAATGGTATAAGCTTAAGGTGAAACACCGTCGCCTTTAATTGAATTTCTAACCTAAGCAGGATCTAGCCCTTAGCCAATTATAATGCATTAGACAATTATAATGTATTATTCCTGACCTGGTCTGCAATGGCCAGCCATCACTGTGTTGTATGGTTCACTTTTTAAGAGTTTTGCATGCTGAAGGTTCACCTTTACATTCCAATTACACAGTATACAACTTTAAACATGTATTTGTATTGTATTTGCATTTTGTATATTGCATTTTGAATACTGGTTGTATATATTGAATGTATATTTTGTTATATCATGTATAACTGACTGATATGGCATAGTAACTGTGATTTTTGGAGAAGCCCACCATAGTAAATGTCTCCTAAGTGTAACTTACTCAACCTGAATTCAGATTCTGATTAAACAATGCCGAACCTCGTACTTCAACTAATTACGTAAATGGACAGGACCTGTCAAGAGACAATAACTATTCCCTAATAGAATTTGCCCCCAAGTGCAATTTAATTTCCACTGTTGCCCTCTCTTGAGGTCTCTTCATCTCTTTCTTTCTTTCCTTTGCAGGGAAAATGGGGGGAACGGCTTCTGACATTGATGTTCCAGCCTTTATTTACTCTTTACGCGGAGTAGAAACCACCAGACTGAGGTAGACAGGTAAAACGTATCTGTGTTTGTCTTAGTATTTGTTTGTATTTGCGAGCCGAAAACTGCATGGACTTCCTGTGTGCTCGAGCGCTGTCCAGCTCGTGTGAGGTGCTGAAATGAACATGCCACGCGACTGGCGGTAGGTTTGCATGACGCTCTCTGAGACGTGATGTGCTTATTTAAGCGCGCAAACGTTGTTTCTTTTCGTTTCGTATTTAAATCGTATTTGTTTAACACATTTTTGTGCATGACACTGTTTTAAATGTTTGTAAATTAACAAATGGATGAAAACTGACAACAAACACAGCATTTGTCATGTCGGCTATATATATAGGGAGTATTTTTTTTTTTCACGCTATATATCTCACACTTTGATATGTTATTATTTACTTTGATATTATATGAGATTGGCAACAATTACAGTAAAGTACAAACAGCGCTGTTGCCAGAACATGCCTCACTGACAATAACAGACATTTTAAGACATTGTGTGTTAATTAACTTGTTCAAAATAATTATGTCATCCCTCATTTCTATTTCAAGTAATGTCATTTCATTCTAAATATATTTTGATTAAAATGTTACATTTTTATTTAAAACAAGTAGAAACAAGTGTGACACATTTGTACTATCCCATTTTGTGTAATATTTATACCGTCTGGTCAATATTTTTATTTATTTTTTAAACGTAGATTTATAGAAGTTTATTTAGATGATGTTATATTTCAAATTAATCTGCTGATTTGTAAACCAGACGTAGCCTAATAAAATATTTTGATTTTATTTTTCTTATATATATATATATATATATATATATATATATATATATATATATATATATATGTATATATATATATATATATATATATATGTATATATATATATATATATATATATATATATATATATATATATATATATATATATATGTATATATATATCACCAGCAGGGAAGTGGTCATGTATGATAGTTTAGTTTACCCAGAATTACTCGTTTGTAATTGTGGTTGTGTTTCAACACGCTCCGTTTTACAGCACTAGTCTAATCTAAACGCTTTAGGGTTGCTTTATCTGATTATAATGATGTAAAGCGTTACTTATTGATCCTGATTTTATTTTCATCTGAAATTCTGGGATGAACACCGTTTTGAATAGTAGCTCCAGTTGTAAAGTTCACATTAATTTGTCCAAATATAGGCGCTCAATGAAGAGAAGACTGGGGGGCTGAAATCTGATCTATTGCTGTTCGCGTGCAGAGACCTGTATTTTACTAATATGATGGAGCAGCAGCTCGTGGTGTCAGAATGCGGATACTGTGAAATACTGGCAGTAATTAGAGGTGCTCGGGGTCAGCGGGAGTCGCACCCTTTCGCTGAATTATAGTGCACAGGTCTCTCGTTGTTCGGACAGGTGCCCTTTAGTGCATTTTATAGTGACTTAAACTGACTTTGAGATGCAAAATAACTGCGCGCGTGCACCACGCGGATTTAATCCTGTGGCAAAACATTGGCACTTTAAGAGCATTTGCCCCCCTGTTCTGTTTAAGTAAGACTAAATTCACATTTTCCTTTGACCATCAGCGTAATCGAATAATCTGCATAAATACTCCACGCCATAATCAAAATGAAAATCAAAAGCGTGGCCCGGGATAATTCCCATGTCCACCATTGGCCCATGAAGAGGGAATCTGGTGAAGCTCGAGGGCTGCTGCTGTTTGCCACCATTTAATCAGCTTGATGATCACTTTCATTTAACTAAATTACACTGGAGCCATTAAGCAAACTGTGGAAGGGGTTGTGTTGTTTAAAACTTGAAATAATCTGACTTTGATGATATCCACGTCTTATTTACATATCTCTGTAACATATCCATCTGCCCATGATTTAGTTTTGCTGTATTTTACACCAGGCAGGATAATTAGGGATTGAAATAGCCTACGCTGTGTATATACATGAGAGAGGATTTTATCTGTATAGGATGTTACATTGTGTTTCTCCAGTCTCAAGTTTAGCATTTCAGATTGATATTGATTTTATTATTAGTGTTCTGAAATTGGACAGTAACTAGTTTCAACGAGACTGTCCAGTAAACGGAGAGATTTATCAGTCATTTAAGCGTGGTGTGATGTGAGGATGTAGGTGGAATTGATAATGCTTTCCAATAGAATAGAATAGAATAGAATAGAATAGAATAGTGAAACTAGTAAATGATCAGTAAGAATTATTATTTTTAAAGCTTTTTTAAAGCTCACCTTTCTTTTAAATAATTACGTTAAAATGTAAGATAGAATTAATTTATAAATATTATTTAAATAACAAATAATTTTTAATGTGTTGTGAATTTCTATTTAACAAGAGGAAACTATAGTTGTATCCATAGATTTTGTTCTTTCGCCCATCAGCCGTGTATTCGCATCTCACAGAGCTTCCAGCACATGTGGCCTATTATAAACAAATAGCCTATGGCTTTGAAGTGTTTGTAAGGATGAGGGCGAGAGGAGTGAGGCAGGCTAAAAGAAGAGAGACGTAAAGACATAAGCTACGTGATACAGGCTACGTAGAAAAGCAGAGAGACTGACGATGATGAGACTGACTGCTCCATTGTGAAGCTTGTTTTCATGAGCTCGCGACCGAGCGCGCGCGCGCACACACACACACACACACACACACACACGGCGCATTATAGTGTCCATGAAGAGAATTGGAAGTGAAGATTGAGTTCATCTCGCTTGAACCCCGCTCTCTCCGGAGGAAGAAAAGCTCGAATGAAATGAGTCCTGTCAGGATTGACTGTGTCGAGACGGCTGATAAACAACGTAAAAGCTCTCTTGAATTTGTTATTTTTAGCAAACGTTTTCCAGGCACTATTGAGTGTTTTTGTCCTATGAACTCGTCAGGTCAACAGGACAAAATAATGAGAGCTAATTTGAGCCATTTTAAGTGCAATGTAATATAGCTGTAATAAAAGACAGAAACTAACTTTTAAATAAATTGTAAACTAATGTAATAGTGTGCGTGAGCTAACATATTGCCTGCCTTGTTAACATTTTCTCAGAACGAGAGAATAATAATTGTAATTCATTATAAGGTAATTCATACTTTTTTCTTTTCTTTTTTCTTTTTACAATATATCAGTCAAAATGTATGCTCTTATCTTTTAAAATATTTTACAACTTTAATTAAAAATATATATAGCCTAGCCTATATGATAAGGTAACTTAGGCTACAGGTAGGCTACCCAATAATCAGGGTTTAGCCTAAAGCATTTTACTTCTTTTTTATTATGAATATTATTTAAATTCTAATTCCACACATTCCAGAACACCCCCATGTAGGCTAGCCTACTCGAGGCGATTGCCATTGCCTATTCCTAGATATCCACTAAATAGCAACCCTGAAATAAACCACGTTTTAAATATTCACGTAGGTCTAATATTTACGTGACTTGTTTGACTCACCCCTGACAGGTCTCAAAAGGGTTTAAAAACACTTCAGATTCTGACGTTTCGGTAGCGGCCTTGTTTTATCGTCATCACTTCCTTATCGCTTTTTCTACTTACCTGAGAGCGCGAGCCGCACAAGTTTCCGCCTCTCTTGCGCCCGTCCACGCCTCCCATTGGCCCCCCGGGGGAGTGACGTCAGGGCCGCCCCTGCAGTGTGAATGAATCAAGCGGTTTGTGTGACACACAGCGAAAGAACGCACGAGCCCGAACTCACGCGCGAGCGCCCGACTATTTCACGAGGATAACCACAGGAGCGAGGACTGTAAAAGGACACTATCCGGGGAGACAAATTATTTAATGCACCTCTGAGATTCTCAGACCTCCGCGAGCGTGTGCATGTGCGCGTTTTATCAGACTGGATGAAAATGATGCAAAGTGCGGCTGTGTTGCCCGGCGAGAGCGCGGTGAAGGGTCTGCCGGACATCCTCGGAGTGCCACTGCAACGTAAGGGATTTTTCTTCTGCTTATATTGATTAGTTAATCAGAGAATTGGCAGGCCTCCTCCGGGCGTCTGCAGGCCACCACTGTGGAATAACATGTAGCTTTTAATTAAACTCCACTGGGGAATCATAAGTGAGCCACCGGGACTAACTGGGTGGTACAATTAAATCAGACGACTTTTAAGTGTAAATAGCTTTAACTGTATGTGTTGCTAATCATAAGTTCTGATTTAATCTCGAGCATTAGATCCCAAATATTATTTTATGATGATAGCTGAAACGTTCTTCTTGAATCTGTTCATAACTGAGCTCTGTAACGCATAAAAATGTGTCTTATGTAAATGCAATGCTTTATAATCTTACAGTATAAAAGAAAATCAAACCCAGCCTGATTGCATATTGGTCAGACAAATTTTAGATCGCACAGAATATTAGGCTATATAAATTGCACCTCTTAATAAGTTGTTGTGGTTGGGGACAGCGGTCCAAAAGGTGCAAACGATACAATGAGACGGATAGAAAAATTATTTATGCGATTTCTCTATAATGCAGAGCAGAGGTTAAATCGAGCAGAGTGCATTTCATGTTATTTGTTTCAATAAAATAGAGATTATAAGACCATCTGAGTACATGAACATTCTATATTAATGTCATGGCATTTGGCATTTCATATTATCTTCGCATCTGGTCTTTATCAGTCGCAAATTAATCTGTGTTAGGCCTATATAATCTGATCTAACAATCAAGATGGAGTTTGAATTGGATAAATTGCTGACCTAATTATTCACAGGCGAGCTTCAGAAATGTACAGATGGACCTCATCTTGTTTGGGCCAGACTTGTTTTATGCAATTGTCTATTGGAAAGAAGAGAACGCATTCATTTTAGTCACCAAAAGTCGTGCGTAATAAAATAATAATGGGCATTTAACTGAGTGAACACAGAAGAAAATGCTGGAAAACGAACCACTTGGTGTTTTTTTTTGGCCAAAAGAATGGCCAAAGGTTAAGTAGGCAATATATAGGTCTGTCAGTGCAGGCGAATGCCTAATTTCATTAAATGATAGATTAAAAGATACTGCTACTCAGCCTCCCTTGGCGAATAAATGATGGATTAAGTGAGGATTATTTTAAGAATAATCTGTTCTTGCGGTATGGATCTAAATATTATTCTAATGAACAGGGTGCTTTTAAAACAACATATGGGTAATTAAAACAGAAAACAGAAGCCTGCAAGAAAAACGAGATCTAAAAGAGAATGCATTGAATGAAAAACAAAATTAATTTAAACCAGTAATATCGGACGAAACGAGTGAGTTAATTGGAATATTTTAGATGCACACGTTGATGTTAAAGAAAGACCTGCCATGACAGCCATCTTTTAATTGAATGGATAATCAAATACATCCTTGGAGTAAATGAGCGTTAAAAGCTGAAGGCGGGTGAATGAGTGAAGCTGCGCCGGGGCGGGAGCTGTTCCTTCAGCACCACACGAGGCTTTACTCGCTCCGGACACAGCAGCACCAAGACCCAACAACAGAACATTCATCTAAAACGCTACAGTAAAAACTGTTAATTGGCTAACTGTAAATTACCTGAAATTATCATTTATTTTATTTACAAAATACAATAGGCCTACTATAAAATTCAGTAAACGTGAAGTTTTTATGGAAGTTAAAGTATAAATTACCTTGTAATTTACAGTGGGGAAAAATAGCCTAACAAGGCATTACATTGTTTTGGAAAAATATTGTGTTAAGTAAAAAGTAGGCATAACGACTGTTCATTTATGGGAAATGGGCATTCCTAGAATTTCCTATTTCCTACGCAAACTATCACATTTGTTTGTATTTTATGTAAAAAGTATTTTTTTTTTTTAAATGTTACTATTTACTTTTTATGTTACTATTTCTGTTATTTAGTTAACGTTTACGGC